TTAAGGGACAGAGTTAGGGCCACAGAGACTTTAGGGACACAGAATCGTTACTCAGGGACACAGAATCGTTACTCAGGGACACAGAATCGTTACTCAGGGACACAGAATCGTTACTCAGGGCCACAGCTATCAAAGAATCGAAAAATTTAAAGTGACATACACCTTTTTTTTTGGTGGCTGTCGTGCACAGTTGGTGCTGCAGTTTGCCGATTGTGCAAAATAAACTGACTTTCTGCTTCACAACCAATATTGTACGTTCAAAGAGTTAGATCCATATACACGCCGGCTGGCGGTAATATTTTTTTTGGGTGATTAGTGCATTCCAGTGACAGAAACATACAGTTTCCAGCCAGCGGCAAGCTGCAATTGACCGATTGTGCTAAATAAACGGACTTTCTGCTTCACAACCACTATTGTATGTTCAAAGAGTTAAATCCATTTACACGCCGGCTGGCGGTAATATTTTTTGGGTGATTAGTGCATTCCAGTGACAGAAACGTACAGTTTCCAGCGAACGGCAAGCTGCAATTGACCGATTGTGTACAATAAACTGACTTTCTGCTTCACAACCACTATTGTACGTTCAAAGAGTTAGATCCATTTACACGCCGGGGGTGGCGGTAATATTTTTTGGGTGATTAGTGCATTCCAGTGACATAAACGTACAGTTTACAGCCAACGGCAAGCTGCAATTGACCGATTGTGCTAAATAAACTGACTTTCTGCTTCACAACCACTATTGTACGTTCAAAGAGTTAAATCCGGTTTTATTTTTGGGGTGCTTATTGAATTAAAGAGTATGTCAGACAACACGCAGAGGAGTGGCAGAGGAGGCAATGTTTCAGGAGCGAGCAGACGTGGCAGCAGAGGAAGGGGTCGAGGCAGCACTAGTCGCAGCCAGAGGCCAGTGCTCCCGGTGTCATCCAGCGGCAGTCGTGTCTCCACCGACAACCCTGCCGTCATCGATTGGTTGACTCGGTCATCTTCCTCTTCCCAGGTCACCTCTGACACCTACAGCCAACGGTCGGTGGGTACGTCAGACACAACCGTTAGTTGGCATGGCCCGGGAGCAAGCCCACTGAAATCACGTGTCCTCGACCTGCCCCTGTCCTTTGGTGTTCCCTCACCAAGCGAAGTATCGCATGCTGTGGGCTCAGCCCCACTGTACAGTGAGGAAGAGCTAACAGAGGGCGGGTCAGGAACGGGGGGGAGACATCCGCCTCTTCAGCAGCCAGGCGAAGAAGTACTGGCGAGGAGAGAGTGGCTCGGTAGCCGGTCTAGAGACAGGTCTGTCTCTTGACCCACACGCAGCCGAGGGGGCTAGTAGTAGTGACGCGGAGACCCTAATTGATGATGATGAGGCTGATCGCACTTGGCAGCCTCGTCGTCATCAGGCTATTGCTTCCGCATCATCAGGAAAAGAGGGGTGCCAGCTTGCCAGCGAGCAAAACAGTCGGTGGGTTGCCCAGGAGGCAGCAGGGTCGCAGCAGTGTCAGTGGAGCCAAATGGCCACGGAGTAGAGCACCAGCTCCACTGCAGCCTACCACCACGGCCAGTAGTGGTGCCGGTGTGCACGGGAGGAAGTAGCAGTCAGCCAGTGAGGAGTAGCGGGGGCAAAGTTTCCTACTCGGCGGTGTGGCAATTTTTCGTCACGCCGCCCGAGGAAGTAAACGTAGCCGTATGTCGACTATGTGGCCAGAAAGTCAAGCGTGGCCAGGGGGCCAATGTTGGGACTACAGCGTTGCGTCAGCATATGCAGCGTCGCCATTCGGTGGCCTGGGAAAACCGTGATAAAGATACGGCGGTTCTGCCTGCCCCCAGCCCCCGCTCCATCACCCGCTCCGTTACTTGCTCCGTCACCCGACGTCAATCGCCCTCTATCAGCCAGCCAGTCAAGGCTCCAACACCTCTGCTGAGGGGAGTTGTCGCTCGTTGGCATCTTCCGCTCGTTCAGATGCTCCTTCTCCTGCTACTCCTCTTCACGGATTCCCGTCAGCAGTCTTTCTTGGAATCCGTTTCCAAGAGACAACAGTTTGCGAGCACGCACCCGACGGTGCAGAAGCTGAACGTCCTCCTGTCCAAGTTGCTGCAGTCCCTCCCTTTCCAAGTGGTGGACTCAGCACCTTTCCGAGAAATGATGGCTTGTGCCGAAGAGCGCGCGGTGGAGAGTGCCAAGCCGGCATTTCTTCGCCAAAAAGGCAGTGCCAGCCCTGCATTCACATGTAGAAGAGATGGTGGGCCAGTCTTTGAGCATGTCGGTCTCTGCCAAAGTGCACGGCAGCGCCGACGTGTGGAGCTGTAACTACGGTCAGGGACAGTACATGTCATTTACGGCCCACTGGGTAAACGTGGTGCCGGCACAGCGCACCAGCAACTTGGACAGGTCACGCCGCTTTTGCCTCCACGTTTGCACGTCCTTGGTCCAGCAAAGATGTCCGCCTCTACCACCTCTTCTTCCGCCGTGTCCTCAGCCGCCACCCCCGTGCCAAGTCCCATTACCCGACCGGCATATCACATGTGCAGGGCGCAACGGTGTCACGCTGTGCTGCACCTGGTATGCCTTGGCGAACGTAGTCACACAGGGGAGGAACTTCTGAGTGTAAGGAACAGAGAAATCGACAGATGGCTGTCTCCGCGCAAACTGAAAATCAGAACCATGTTGACCGACAACGGAAAGAACATGGTGTCTGCTCTGCGTCAAGGAAGGTTGTGCCATGCGCCATGCATGGTTCACGTGTTCAATCTGGTTGTCAAGCGGTTCCTAGTTCTAAAAATCCACCATCCCACTGCAAGACATCCTTAAAATGTCACGTAAACTTTGCATGCATTTCAGCCATTCCTACACCGCAAAAGCACACCCTCCTTGAGCTGCAGCGGCAGAACGGAATTCCACAGCATCGCCTGATCTGCGACGTTGCAACAAGGGTGGAATTCAACCCTACATATGTTAGACCGCCTTTACGAACAGCGAAAGGCCATATTCGTTAACGCAGTGACCGATTTTCCTGATGTTACAAGCGGATAAAGGTACTCCCCTGTGTAACTTACATGTCAGCCAATGGCTCAGCTCATGCGTGACACCTGCCGCTTGCTCAGGCCCTTTGAGGAGGCCACGCTATTCGTGAGTCGGCAGGACTATGGGGATGAACGACGTCATTCCTCTGTTGCACGTCCTGGAACAAATGCTGTTAACAATGGCTGGTCAGGGTGCGTGTAGACGTGGCGCACAGATCTCAACGCCACATGACCCCTGTGGGGGCAGGACAGGAAGAAGAGGAGGAGGTAGAGGAGGACATTGGTGCTCAGGAATTATTGAGTGAAATGGGTGGTTTTTCCACTCAGCGGACAGGAGTGGAGGAGCAGGAGCATCTGGTAGAGGAGGAGGAGGAGGAGTGCACAGAGGACCCAGACGCACCGCTCTATGCCGCAGGCAGTATGCAGTATGCTGTGGAGATGGAGGCAGGGAGTCCCTCGCATTCCTTGGCACAAATGGCCCATAGCATGCTCGGTTGCTTGCGTAGCGACAGCCGAATAATAACCATCAGACAGAGGGATGACTTTTGGCTGTCCCACCTTGTTGGACCCTCGCTACCGTTCAAAAATGGTGGCCTTTTTCACACCTGCTGAGAGGGAGGCAAAAAAAAAGTACTATAAAAACCACCTATGTAGTCATGCAGTATATAGCCCTATCGGCCACTTTCTGGCATCCAGTTGCTGTAGCCCCCATCACCACACTGTGCCACGGGCCCCTGTACCGCCTTCTCATACTGCTGCCAGATCCATCCTCTGCCATGTGCGTCTTTGTCGTCTGCTCTCGCTGCTGGGTTCCAGTTTTAAACCTAGGCCTGTGTATGGCCTCCACCGCCACCCTGCGCCATGTGCCTCTGTCATCTGCTCACGCTGCTGACGGCTTCCGCTTTTTAAACTAGTCCTGTGTATGTCTTCCGAATACTGCTGCCTCCACCGCCACCCTGCGCCATGTGCCACTTTCAGGTCTCCTTACACTGTTGGTGGGTTCCATTTTGTGATAGGGTGCTGTATGGCCTTCCATTGCTGCTGCCTCCACCGCCACCCTGCGCCATGTGCCTCTGTCGTCTGCTCACGCTGCTGACGGCTTCCGCTTTTTAACCGAGGCCTGTGTTTGGCTTACGAATACTGCTGCATCCACCGCCACCCTGCGCCATGTGTCTCTGTCGTCTGCTCACGCTGCTGACGGCTTCCGCTTTTTAACCTAGGCCTGTGTATGGCTTCCGAATACTGCTGCCTCCACCGCCACCCTGCGCCATGTGCCTCTGTCGTCTGCTACGCTGCTGACGGCTTCCGCTTTTTAAACTAGTCCTGTGTATGTCTTCCGAATACTGCTGCCTCCACCGCCACCCTGCGCCATGTGCCACTTTCAGGTCTCCTTACACTGTTGGTGGGTTCCATTTTGTGATAGGGTGCTGTATGGCCTTCCATTGCTGCTGCCTCCACCGCCACCCTGCGCCATGTGTCTCTGTCGTCTGCTCACGCTGCTGACGGCTTCCGCTTTTTAACCTAGGCCTGTGTATGGCTTCCGAATACTGCTGCTCCACCGCCACCCTGCGCCATGTGCCTCTGTCGTCTGCTCACGCTGCTGACGGCTTCCGCTTTTTAAACTAGTCCTGTGTATGTCTTCCGAATACTGCTGCCTCCACCGCCACCCTGCGCCATGTGTCTCTGTCGTCTGCTCACGCTGCTGACGGCTTCCGCTTTTTAAACTAGTCCTGTGTATGTCTTCCGAATACTGCCTTCTCCACCGCCACCCTGCGCCATGTGTCTCTGTCGTCTGCTCACGCTGCTGACGGCTTCCGCTTTTTAACCTAGGCCTGTGTATGGCCTTCAATTGAAGCTGCTTCTGCTCCGCCACTCTGCCATTGGACTCTTGATAGTCGTCTCCCCACGCTGCTGCTGGGGGGACTTTTTAACATAGGCCTCTGTATGGCCTTCAATTTTAGCTGCTTACGCTCCGCCACTCTGCCATGGGCCCCTGTACCGCCTCCTCATGCTGCTGCCAGGTCCAAAGTGTGTCATGGGTCCCTGTACGGCCTCCCATTGCTGCTGTCTCCATCGACACACTCTGCCATGTGACACTTTCAGGTCTCCTCACACTGCTGGTGGGTTCCATTTTGTCATAGGGTGTTGTATGGCCTCCCATTGCTGCTGCCTCCACCGCCACACTGTGGCTCCACACTCTGGTTTTTTGGCCCCGTGACTGCCCAAATGAGTGAAGTGTGCGGTGATTCTAAGATCGATGGCACTCATCTGCATGTCATACTGACTGACAGTATTATTTCTCTTCCCCAGCAGACTCCAAGGGCATTTAAATTAAAGGTACAGTGTTCTGCACTAATATAAAGGCTCTCTGAAGCCTAGAAACACCCTTTTTATAAGTTAAATTCGCAGCGAATATATTCGGCACGAAGCGAATTTAATCGGCGAATTCGGCGAATCAGCCGAACCGAATTTTTGAATAATTCGCTCATCTCTAGTCCTGACCAGTATAGCTCATATCTAGAAAGATGGGAAAGTCGGGTGCTAAACGTGTGTAACCAAGATGCATAGTTGGCTGCGTATAGAGATTCTGAGGAATTTGTAAGAACAATCCCCAAGTAGGATATTCCTTCATCTTTCGATGTAAAGGGGTAAGTACGTTGGTGAGTATTACAAACACCAGTATTCACACCCAGGTCTAATGTGATCTGGATGCATTGACCTTGTAATATGACATTTGATTGAACAGTTGCAAAGCTTGGTATAACACTGCTAGAGATTTTGATGGCTGAGTGAGCATAAGAATTATGTCATCCGCAAATAAGCTAGTGACATGTTCCTGGGATCCCACCATAAGACCATGTATATCAGGATGTTGTCTTATGTAAAACACTAAGGGCTCCATCAATGAATTAAAAATCAGTGGGGACAGTGGGCACCCTTGTCTAGTACCTTTAGTGATATGAAAAGGCAGAGACAGTATCCCAGAGAAATAGACTCTAGCAGACGCTGATGCATACAGAGCCATAATGGCTGAAAGGACAAGCCTGCTAAAGCCAAACCCTATCAAGATACCCCCAATGTATTCTATCAAATGCCTTCTCTGCATCCAAAGCAAAGGGCAGTGAAGGCATTTTGTGCTGTTTGGCAAAATGAATTAAATCAAGTTGCATCCGACGTCTGTCTACCCTTTGTAAAACCGAATTAGTCAATATGGATTAATGTAGGCATTATATCCCTTAGACGTAAGGCTAGTAGTTTAGCATAAATTTTCAAATCATTGTTCAGCAACGAGATAGGGTGAGATAGGGTGGAAGTTTTGAGTCTGATCAGAGGATTTCCCTGGTTTTGGCAGTGTCTCAATCAAGACTTCCAGCATCTCAGGGGGGAAGGAGACAGAGACCACAGCAGTCTCATATACTTAAGATAAATAAGGACCCAAAATACATTTAACATTTTTAAAGTATTCTCCTGTAAAGCCATCTGGACCAAGAGATTTGTTGTTGGGTAGAGTATTAATGACCTTGTAAATTTCAGAGAGAGTAAAATTAGAATTTAGAGATTGCAATTGTTCCTCAGACAAGGAAGGGAGATTAATACTGCTGAGGAAATTATCAATGTCAGGAAGGTTTGGTTGGTGGATGGTGTCATCATCTTTTAAGTTATACAGTGCACTATAGTACAAGCTTGTAAGGGAATTCCCTTGAGACGGCTGGTGAATAGACGTGCGCATGTGCACAGAAATGCATGATCATGCACACCCACGTGCACACGCACGGTGAAGATTGGCACCAGACGGACTATTTAAAAGGTGCCTCTGCCTGTGCTGAGTGCTGACTGGTCTTCAGCTGTTCCCAGTTTCCTGCTCGTTCCTGTGTGATTTCCTTGTTGATGACCTGGCTTGTTCCTGACCTGACTCTAATTGCTCTCCTGCCTGATACTTGTTCCTGACTTCGGCTCTGCTCCTGATTTTGGCTTGCTTATGATTTGGTACCCTGCTGTCCGCCCGTTGTTGACCCTGGCTATTCCTTTGACACTGCTCCTGTCTCCCATCCCTGCTTCCTGCCTTGCTCTGGTGCACACCCGGCGATCTACCATACCAGCTCTGCATATTATAAATTACTAATTAGCACACTAAAAGGTTCTAAATAAGTAAAATAAAATAAAATATCCCAAAGAAAAACACTCACTTTCACCCTTGAAAGCTACACAACAAATGTATCAAATCTTTTCTTTTCCAAATTAAAATAAAATTCATAAAAGTGTGTGTGTGTGTGTGTGTGTGTGTGTGTGTGTGTATATATATATATATATATATATATATATATACAGTTGCAAGAAAAAGTATGTGAACCCCTTGGGATTACGTGGAGTTTTGCATGAATTGGGCATAAAATGTGCTCTGAACATCATCTAAGTCACAACAATAGAAGAACACAGTCTGCTGAACATAATACTACACAAACATTACATGTTGCCATGGTTTAATTGCACATAACATGTAAACATTCACAGTGCAGGGAGGAAAAAGTATGTGAACCGTTGGACTTAATAACTGGTTGACCCTCCTTTGGCAGCAATAACCTCAACCAAACGTTTCCTGTATTTGCAGATCAGACCTGCACAACGATCTGGAATAATTTTGGACCACTCCTCTTCACAAAACTGTTTCAGTGTAGCAATATTCTTGGGATGTCTGGTGTGAATCGCTCTCTTAAGGTCATGCCACAGCATTTCAATCGGGTTGAGGTCAGGACTTGACTGGGCCAGTCCAGAAGGCGTATTCTGTGCTGTTGCAGCCATTGTTTTGTTGAATTACTTGTATGCTTTGGGTCATTGTCCCTGTTGCATCACCCATCCTCTGCGGAGCTTCAGTTGGCGGACAGATGGTCGTACGTTTTCCTGCAAAATGTCTTGATAAACTCTGGAATTCCTTTTCCATCAATGACAACAATCCGTCCAGCCCTGAGGCAGCAAAGCAGCCCCAAACCATGCTGCTGAACCCCTCCGCCATGTTTTACAGTGGGATGAGGTTTTGATGTTGGTGTGCTGTGCCTTTTTTTTCTCCACACATAGTGTTGTGTGTTCTTCCCAAACAACTCAATCTTGGTTTTATCTGTCCACAGTATATTTTGCCAGTAGTGCTGTGAAACATCCAGGTGCTCTTTTGCAAACTTCAAACGTGCTGCAATATTCTTTTTGGACAGCGATGGCTTCCTCCGTGGTGCCCTCCCATGTACTCCATTCTTGTTTAATGTTTTCTTTATTGTAGATGTGTCAATAAAAATGTTAGCATGTGCCAGAGATTTCTGTAGGTCTTTAGCTGACACTCTGGGATTCTTCTTTACCTCATGCAGCATTCTGCGCTGTGCTCTTGCAGTCATTTTTTACAGGACGACCACGCCTAGGGAGAGTAGCAACAGTGCTAAACTTTTTCCACTTTTGTAGACAGTCTGTCTTACCGTGGACACATGAACATCAAGGCTTTTGGAGATACTTTTGTAACCCTTTCCAGCTTCATGCAAGTCAACAATTCTTGATCGTAGGTCTTCTGAGAGCTCTTTGAGGCGAGGCATGGTTCACATCAGACAGTGCTTCTTGAAACCAGTAAACCCAAAATAGGTGTGTGTTTTTTAAGGGCAGGACCTGTGCCAGCAACACATCCAATATCATCACACTGATTGGAGTCAAGGTTGGCTCACTACTGGCTTCAATTAGCTCTGGGAGAAGTCATTAAGCTAGGGCCTCACATACTTTTTCCTCCCTGCACTGTGAATGTTTACATGTTATGTGCAATTAAACCATGGCAACATCTAATGTTTGTGTAGTATTATGTTCAGCAGACTGTGTTCTTCTATTGTTGTGACTTAAATGACGTTCAGAGCACATTTTATGCCCAATTCATGCAAAACTCCACGTAATCCCAAGGGGTTCACATACTTTTTCTTGCAACTGTGTATATATATACAGTTGTGGCAAAATTATTCAACCCCCACTGAAATTGAGTGTTTTGGCCAGTTTGACATTGCTTTTGATCATTCAGTCATCTTGCTTACATTTACATTAAAGAGGCACTTGTAGGTCAGACAAATATAACATAACAGTTATAATGAAATAACCACAAATGTCTTTTCTGTGCTCACAGCATTATCAGTTTTATTCAACCCCCAAGTGACATTCAATCTTAGTACTTAGTACAGCATCCTTTTACAGTTATAACAGCTTTTAAACGTGAAGCATAGCTTGACACAAGTGTCTTGCAGCGATCTACGGGTATCTTCGCCCATTCTTCATGGGCAAAGGCCTCCAGTTCAGTCACATTCTTAGGCTTGCGCACTGCAACTGCTTTCTTTAAGTCCCACCAGAGGTTCTCAATCGGATTTAAGTCTGGTGACTGCGATGGCCACTCCAAAATGTTCCAGCCTTTCCTCTGCAACCATGCTCTAGTGGACTTGGAGGTATGCTTGGGATCATTGTCCTGTTGAAAGGTCCAACGTCTCCCAAGCCTCAGGTGTGTGACGGACTGCATCACGTTTCCATCCAATATCTCCTGGTACTGAAGAGAATTCATGGTACCTTGCACACGCTGAAGCTTCCCTGTACCTGCAGAAGCAAAACAGCCCCAAAGCATGATTGACCCTCCACCATGCTTCACAGTAGGCAAGGTGTTCTTTTCATCATAGGCCTTGTTCTTCCTCCTCCAAACATAGCGTTGATCCATGGGCCCAAACAGTTCTAATTTTGTTTCATCAGTCCACAGAACACTATCCCACAACTTTTGTGGTTTGTCCACATGGCTTTTGGCATACTGCAGTCGACTCTTCTTATTCTTTGGAGACAGCAAGGGGGTACGCCTGGGAGTTCTGGCACGGAGGCCTTCATTACGCAGTGTGCGTCTTATTGTCTGGGCTGAAACTTCTGTACCCACATCTGACAAATCTTTTCTCAGTTCCTCAGCAGTCACACGGGGACTTCTCTCCACTCTACGCTTCAGGTAGCGCACAGCAGTCGAAGTCAGCATCTT